TTGACTTTAAATTGTTTCAGAATATTTGTTGGAATGTATATCCTCTTTGGTCATAATTCTTCACAATCATCAAAACATGCAATTTGAAAGTGTGAACTAACCTGCTTTTATATCATTTACAGATGAATCATAATAATCTATACTATGCTTGGCATTTGCTATCATATTTGATATGTAAAAAGTAATAATACAGAAAATTTACATGCTATTAAACAAAAAAGTCTAACACTGCAACTAACCTTGGTGAATCTTCTTTGGCCGTGTCTCTGAAATGTATAAATTGTGTACTAACATGAGAAATTCATAACCACTGACCCCTTTCTGTTGTCTTCTGGTGCAAAAGGTGACATGTCCAGAAATTTGTGAGAACAAATTCAAATGGTTCAAGCAAAGTCAAGCAAAGCAAGCAAGGGAGACATAGGGGAACCTTTTAACATTTTTATTAATTTTCTAAAAATAGACAGACAAAATCATAAACAGCTCATAAACAGCAGGAAAAAAGAGAGAGAGAGAGAGAGTGAGAGGGAGAGAGAGAGAGAGAGAGAGAGAGAGAGAGAGAGAGAGAGAGAGAGAGAGAGAGAGAGAGAGAGAGAGAGAGAGAGAGAGAGAGAGAGAGGGAGGGGAGAGAGGGGAGAGAGGGGAGAGGGAGGGAGAGGGGGAGAGAGAAAGTGAGGGGAAAGGGAGGAAGGAGAGAGAGAGAGAGAGAGAGAGAGAGAGAGAGAGAGAGAGAGAGAGAGAGAGAGAGAGAGAGAGAGAGAGAGAGAGAGAGAGAGAGAGAGAGAGAGAGGGAGGAGGGGCAGAGAGAGAGAGAGGAGGGGCAGAGAGAAAGAAGGAGGAGAGAGAGAGAAGAAGGAGGAGAGAGAGAGAAGAAGGAGGAGAGAGAGAGAAGAAGGAGGAGAGAGAGAGAAGAAGGAGGAGAGAGAGAGAAGAAGGAGGAGAGAGAGAGAAGAAGGAGGAGAGAGAGAGAGAGAGAGAGAGAGAGAGAGAGAGAGGAGAGAGAGAGAGAGAGAGAGGAGAGAGAGAGAGAGAGAGAGGAGAGAGAGAGAGAGAGAGAGAGAGAGAGAGAGAGGAGGAGAGAGAGAGAGAGAGAGAGAGGAGGAGAGAGAGAGAGAGAGAGAGAGAGAGAGAGAGAGAGAGAGAGAGAGAGAGAGAGAGAGAGAGAGAGAGAGAGAGAGAGAGAGAGAGAGAGAGAGAGAGAGAGAGAGAGAGAGAGAGAGAGAGAGAGAGAGAGAGAGAGAGAGAGAGAGAGAGAGAGAGAGAGAGAGAGAGGAGGAGAGAGAGAGAGAGAGAGAGAGAGAGAGAGAGAGAGAGAGAGAGAGAGAGAGAGAGAGAGAGAGAGAGAGAGAGAGAGAGAGAGAGAGAGAGAGAGAGAGAGAGAGAGAGAGAGAGAGAGAGAGAGAGAGGAGGAGGAGGAGGAGGAGAGAGAGAAGAGGAGGAGGAGAGAGAGAGAGAGAGAAAGAGAAGGAGAGAGAGAGAGAGAGAGAGAAGAGAAGGAGGAGAGAGAGAGAGAGAGAGAAGGAGGAGAGAGAGAGAGAGAGAGAGAGAGAGAGAGAGAGAGAGAGAGAGAGAGAGAGAGAGAGAGAGAGAGAGAGAGAGAGAGAGAGAGAGAGAGAGAGAGAGAGAGAGAGAGAGAGAGAGAGAGAGAGAGAGAGAGAGAGAGAGAGAGAGAGAGAGAGAGAGAGAGAGAGAGAGAGAGAGAAGGAGGAGAGAGAGAGAGAGAGAGAAGAAGGAGGAGAGAGAGAGAGAGAGAGAGAGAGGAGGAAGAAGGGAGAGAGAGAGATAGAGAGAGAGAGAGAGAGAGAGAGAGAGAGAGAGAGAGAGAGAGAGAGAGAGAGAGAGAGAGAGAGAGAGAGAGAGAGAGAGAGAGAGAGAGGAGGAGGAGAGAGAGAGAGAGAGAAGAGAAGGAGGAGAGAGAGAGAGAAGAGGAGGAAGAGAGAGAGAGAGAAGAGAAGGAGGAGAGAGAGAGAGAGAAGAGAAGGAGAGAGAGAGAGAGAGAGAGAGAGAGAGAGAGAGAGAGAGAGAGAGAGAGAGAGAGAGAGAGAGAGAGAGAGAGAGAGAGAGAGAGAGAGAGAGAGAGGAGGGGCAGAGAGATAAGAGAGTGGAGGGAGGGGGGAGGGGAGAGAGAGGGGAGGGAACGGGGAAGTAGGAGAGAAAGAATAAAAAGAGAGAAAGAATGAAAGAAAGAAAGAAAGAGAAGAATAGAGAGAGAATGAGAGAGATGAACAGACATAGGCAGAGCTAGCTTTAACAGTAGGGTGAATGTTATTAGGGACATAGAAAGGTCATTTTAAGGGAGGGAGAAAATACTATTGCCTTTTGATACAAAAAGAAGAAAGAAAAGTTTAGTAGATTCACTAACCTCTTTAAAGACTGCTTGATTATATTAATGCGATAACGCTGATGAGCTATGCCTTTGATACATTTCTGTTGGATATCCGTGAGTTCTTCTAACTTCTGGCGATATTCTTTGTGGACTTTCTGTAGAGTAAGAAAAATGGGAAAATTTGAAAAAACAATGCATTCCAGGAAGACGAAATCTTATTTGTACAACTATTTCTGCAGCATCATGATTCTTGCATGTGAATGTTATACTGGGGTTTTACTGAACCCAAATGCGACAGGCATAGCTTGTACATACATGTCATTAATTGTTTTTACACACAGATGGCTACACTTGTTCTAAGTCCCCAATGAGCCAATTACGAGTACTACCTGTCTTGCCTGTTTACCTTTTTCCTAAATTTTTTAAATATCTAAATATCTAAATAACATTTTTCTATATTGCTGTTACTAATGTCATTTACATTATAGTAATTATAATGTCTATAATAAAAATAATACTATACATATTGATAGCATTAGAGTGAGAGAGAGAGAGAGAGAGAGAGAGAGAGAGAGAGAGAGAGAGAGAGAGAGAGAGAGAGAGAGAGAGAGAGAGAGAGAGAGAGAGAGAAAATCCTGCCAATTCAAGGAAAGGTGAAATCAGGTAAGATCATAAGGTTTACTAATTGACTCCTTTGTGGCTAAGCACAAGCAGAGCCATCTATGTGCTGAGACATTTCACACACACACACACACACACACACACACACACACACACACACACACACACACACACACACACACACACACACACACACACTCACACACACACACAAAAAAAAAATAATAAATAAAATAAAAAAAAGAGCACAGCATTTTTCCTGCGGCATTGAGTTAACCCTATCAGCATGAATGGCAAGAATACATGCCATGCCCAATGTAATATAAGTTTATTTATTGTATTTACACAAAGATGGCTCTACAAATGCTTAGTCACCAAGGAGTCAGTTATTAGTCCTACCTCTCTCACCTGCTTACCCTTTTCCTTGACTTTTGGAAAGGTTCTTTTCATTGTTAAATGTTACCAAGATCTAAATAACTTAATAATCATAACATCAATAAGAATAATAACAGTATCGACTCCTTGCCAGCTGGGCACATGTGGAGCTATCTGTATGTAACAAAATTCATGAAAACTACAGGGGACAAAATGCAAATCTGTGGTGGTTGGGTTAATAGTTAAGAATATTTATGGAAAGGATAAATATAAATGGGAACGTCATTGTGTGAAAGTATCAATGTGGAGCAAATGATTACAAACACATGTTTATTAAATATCATGAATGTAAATGTACAGAAATACTATGCACTATGATAATGGGAAGATAAACTAATTAAATGAATTAATTTATACAAAATGAGTTACAAGCTCCATTCCAGCACCAAAAGACTGTGTCACCACTGAGCAATGTTACAGTGCACGGTTATTCCAATGGTCATTGACGACAAACAACCAAATTATGGGGAAAGTGAGCTGTCTCTCATAGTCCTTTCCTCATGTGTGACTGACCGGAAGGAAAGAGATAGTGAGGATAGGTCAAGACAAGGGCGTGCTCGTAATGAGACAAGAAATAAATTATATGATGTTCTGGATAAAATATAAATGAAATCAGTGAGAGAATTAAATGAATTGAAAAAGTAAGAGTGAGTGAATTTCTAATGGTCAATTAACAAAACCTGGACAAGAAGTTAATGAAGTACCAAGAATTTCAAGAAATAAGTGCAAAATCACAGAGGGTTAATTCTCTGTTTGAGAAGAAATCACAAACTCACTGAATTCACTGTAGCTGAAATAATATAAATCTCTAAAAATAAGAGGAATTAATTCATTACTTAATGAACAATATTTTGTGTTTGAGGGCAATACTGTGTTCTTACAGTAATGTGATTGTCAAAGAGATATAGTGTCAGTGAGAACACTGCCACATCATGTTGGTTTTAAAGACATTGTATCATAGGAAGTGTTGGTTGAGCAATGATTGGAGATGTGATTGCTCACGTTGTGAGCTGAAAGGAAACAGCTACCACCCTGCCACCAGTTTGTAAAAGGATATGGACGCCTCCTAAGAGGGACTGGATGGGTGGCGACAGAAGTATGTGTACAGTTTGGCTCTTTATTGTTAAAAGAGTACAACACTAGTAAATGAACATATGATACCTTGAACTGGGACAGTGCTTTTATAGCATCATGGGCCCTGGCCAGTGGAGGGCTGCAGAGGTCTTGACAGTACAGAGACAGGGTGCAAACTCCTGGCACTTCTCCAGAAGCATGTTATGGGGGGGAACAATATGAGGTCTCCTATTGTTTCCACAACAAAATAAGGGAGTTTGGAGGGTTCCACAGTATAATTCCTATATAAATGTGTACTAGAGGGTGAGATGAATCCATTGATACCAAACTTGTCACAATCAGATATGTGAAGATATTGTGAAAAATTACCATAGGGCTTAATGTTTGTAATGTGTCAGTTCAAAAAGTAAATCAAACAGCTGTTAATGAGACAGCTCAAACAGTAAATTAAACTGCCATTTGCATATCAACCCCTAAGAACCAGAAAATGTACATTGCATTACCATATCTCACATAGAATCAGTCTCCATAGAGATAAAAGTTGAAAGAGTTATCACACTTCACTTGTGTGAGTGAAAGTAGGGGAGGTGACTATGAATATGTAAATAGCAATGATTCATTTTTCTATCATATAAAACAATAAAATGTGTATTAAGATATATCTATATGAATGTATGAACTGTAAAAATCAGTTACCTGAAGGTGTGTTGAGGAATAATATGGAAAGAGATCTGGTTTGGCAGGATGACTCACACTCATTATGCTTCGTTCATAATAGAGAAAACACGACTGTCATTGGTTCAGGCAAAGGAGGGCTTACAAGGGGAATGAGGATATGGGGGTGATATCATGGGTGTGGCTGATTGAGACTTGCCAAACAGTACCAGAAAAATTGGAAGACATTCTATGTTTCAGTCAACAAAAGTTGCAGGGAAAATTCTGCCAATTTTGGACAGGCCTGCCATAATCATGGCAGATAGGAATATAAACACTTTCAGTGATTAGCTTAAAAACACCAAACTCTGCTGCATATGGAACTTCATGGTTCATTAATTAATCATATCAAGACCTCTATATCATAAGTGATATAAAGATATAAAGAATAAGAAAAATCACAATACATGATACTTAGAATACAATTGCTAACTAGCAAATTTCTATGCTTCTACCTGATTTTATATTGTTTGCAGTATATATGTTTCCTGAGAATTTTCTTCCACTTAAGACATTTTCTTGAAGCTTTTCCACACTTGAGAGTGATTTATGAGAGTGATTTAGGAAATATACTGGATTTCCAGGAGGGCATGAAGTTTGTTGGCTGGATATATACCAATCCTATGTTACTCACACACACACACACACACACAAAATCTGTCTTCAATGTGTAACTGCTGCTTTACCTTCCCTTTCCGACCATAGAGACTAATACAACTGCTGACTCAGGATATGATACTCTGGGTAAAATCTATCTCATGAACTTTATCTCGCCATCAAACCGAGCACATTGTTACGAATGAACTAAAATGTATATTTTCTAAACGCGTTGGGAAACTACAATACAAAATGGCATTCAACTTTATGAGAGTCGATAGTTACATTACAACTCTACCCACATGCTAGTGAACCCGAGATTATTGCTGTACATCGTGAATAATACAATGCAGCATCATGGCAACAAGTCGTTGCTTAAATGTATACAAAAGGCATATATCCTTACCTCTAGTGCTTTGTATTCTTCACTGAGTGTTTCCCATTCTTCTATACACGCGTCTATATTATTGTGCTCCATTGTCCCTTCATGAGCGAGGAGAACCGAGGGTGGCTCACAGGGCGGACTTTGACTCGATCAGCTGAGCCATGATAAACACGGCGAGGTGAGGCCTGCCAGAGGTACAGCGACCGCAATCTTCGCGTCTTAGAACGTCCCGGTCCTTTATATACAAAAAAGAAAAAAAAGTACATATAGCAACATTCTTGTTTACTTTTTTTTATCATTACTGCAGAGCAACCAGTTAAATAAGCACATATGAAAAATGAACCTCTTAACATGCGTAGTAAAAATATTTCTTTGTTATGATCCATTTTCAAAAAAGCGCACACGCACTGCTTTGTCTCGGGAAATATACAAACACATTCCTCCTTTCAAACACATGTAAGTTTTCAAATAAACTTCCAAACAAAAATACTTTGCAGATCCAGTATCATTACAAATAATTATTTATCGATTTGAATTATTCTTGAACACCATTCATTATTGCGATTTACGGAATTTATTTAAATTTCGGTTAACGAATAAGGTCCATTCTGACCTAATTTTATATACACATTTGTAATTTGTCAATATGAGAGATATTCTTCCTTTGGAATTCTCCAAATGGATCACAGAATGGGTTGGTTGAGTAAATGCCACGCCTTTTCAACCTTTAATTTAGCCATCGGCTTAAGCTTTCGTCCATTATACTTACCCATTTAATGATCTATGCGCGTCTTATTCTATTACATCTCTCCTCTGACAAACTAGATGTAGTGCGTGCATTCAACTCAGTATTCATGGGATCTAGAAAATAAATCATTAGTGCATATTAAAAGGTGTTTGATTGGGTGTTGCAGGCTGCTTCCCTGGTATACCGACAATAAGAAGGCAAATTTCTTCATTTTCAGTTAAATAAAGCATTGGAAACAGACTGAGTACTAACTTTAAACTTTTTTCTTCTTCTTTTTTGTGACGGGAGCCAATGGTATGTTGACAGCCAGAGCGTGTGGGGGAGGGGGTGCCACACCCCTCCAAAGTCTCCCGTCGGGAAGCCTCGGGCTAGAGCTTCGGTTATGCTCAGGCTGACTAGCTGACCCGTTATAATACTATGATAAAAAAGTTCACAGCATGTGAAAATAAAGCTTGTTTGGTGTTGGTACACGGATGGAAGGAAGGGTGTGTATGGACTACGGAGTTAGTTTTGCATTATCAGAAACGACTGACTGATTGGTTGATTATTTGTAATTATCTCCCGCGTCAACAGCTAAGGTCATTAGCGGCGAATACCTTCTTGGATTAAATTATTAAATTGTTTAAAACGTTAAGAATATAGCACCAATGTCTCATAAATTAAAATAAGTATATTAAAAATCAAAACATAAAAATTATGCTTTAAATATATAAAATTATTGCATAAATATTGTGAATTATTAAATTCTATTAAATTATTAGTCTCCCTTAGGAAACCATAAAGACCTATGTAACAATCCTCCCTTAATATATCTTTCAGTTTACATGGGGGAGACAAGTAAATACGTCTTTAGTCTAAGAATGTTGCACATCTTTCCACTACATGTGCAACCGTTAATGGCTCTTGGCATTCCCCACAACGTGTTTCACTTTTAGCCATCATCGGCCCATGAGTCAGTCTTGTGTGCCTGATTAGCGTTGCTAACACAACTAGTTGTCAGTTGGGATAGACGCTGGTCACCCAGTTGTCAAGGTCATCTCTAATCTTTCGTAGTTTGTTTCTAGGGGTATGCCTCCATTGCTCCCACCATTTAACGGGAAGACAACTTCTGATACTGGGTTTCATATTCTCTGATAAACATGGGAACATCAGCCAAGTGGTTGCGTTCCATCACCAATCAGACTGCTTAGATTAATTAAATGTCTTATAGAAGTGGCTATAATCGAATATTTCGGGCATTGAAAAAAAATCAAACGGAGAGTGGCATATGGCTTTCCCGTAGAATGTTGCATTTGCATACACGAGTGTGATATAAAGCCTTACTTTCCTAAACCATGCTGACTATTGAAGCCATGATAGAGCAGGGTTGATAGTTTATTTTTAAAGCCAAAAAAGCTATCTAAAGTTCGTTTGGCTTTATATATTTAAAACAAATCAACGTGCTTTCTTTTGTTATTATCATCACCATTATCATTAGCAATAGTTATAATAGGTTTTTATTATTTTCATCATTATTGATATGTTGCTATCATCATCAATAATATTATTGTCATTCCTATTATCACCGTCACTATCATTATCATTAATGTACATCTTAGTATGTATTGTGAAATACCATAGGATGGTAACTTAATCTGATTTTGTGAATGGTTCACGTAGATGTTCATACCAGTTCCTAGCATGTGTGGGACTGTAGTATTTGCATAGTCCAGCAGAGATGCTGTCCAATTCTCTCATGTCACAATTTGTACTCATTCGAAGTAAAGATAGAGCATCCTGCTACTGTGCGATCATCCGGGTTTTTATGTAATTTTATCATAGTCTACAGGTCTCATAGTCTAAAGCACTGTTTCTAAGAACGCTAGCCTGATGGTTTATAGCCAGAAGACTTTGATCCTGGATTGCCAATAGGAAGCCTTCTGTCTCAGCCTAAAGTTCAGGGGACCTGGATAGGTGGCTGCAGACCAATCCCCACCTAGTCTGTAAAAGCTTTTATATTCTTGCAAGTTAGAGCCTGGGCGAATGTGCTCTAGTGATGCACTGCTGTCTCTCTCTGTCTGCTGTCCTCGCAAGAAGGCTGGTGACTTTCTAAGGCAGATGAAATCAAACTTTAAGTTCTCCTTTCAGAAAGGTGAGTAATGTTCTTGTGATTCATTTCGAGAGATATTCTGTAAAATGCAAATTTGCATAAAAAAGACTTCTGACATATCACGTTTGTGTACTCGACACACTCCGCATGGGGATATGACTGTTCCTGAGCTTTTTACCCATAAATTACTTGGAAGAAATTTCGGGCCTTATCTGCAATTTCTTGCCGTTAGTTTAATTTTTTGCTGCCGAATTTCAGTTTACTGGTTTGTGCTTTTTTTAACACACGCGTGGCAACCTATCCATTAAAGTCGTAAGCATGCATGCAGGACTCACCGCCGGATAAGTCAAATACCAAATACTACTTATAGTCTTAGTGATATCTACAGGAAATAGGCACTTTCATGTACAAGCATGGAACTTGGCACACAAATTTCTTAGTTCCTAAACTAAGGTTTATATGATCTGAGATGCTACTTAAGCCGTCTCAGATTGTCTAACATATATAAAACTTGAAATGTAACCACATATCTCTATACTTACGGGAAATCATTTGCATTTTTCCTCGGTTTAGCAACACCAGAAACTGTGTATGAGCACCGCTCATCATGAACAAAACAAAGATATCCACACAACTTTCACTAACCATGTAAATCAGTGGTTGGTGTAAAAGAAGAAATGGGCAACCCATTTGCTGATAATGGTAATACCTTGTACAAAATAGACACAAAGGTAGTGTTTAGGGTTGAGTACAGAATAGACATAAAGGAAGTGTTAAGAGAAGAGGCTGTAGCGGTGTCAACAGAATAAAGAAGGTTGGTGAAGACCAGCCTATCTTTAATCCCACCAATAAAAATAAATTCTCTGTGTCCAGGAAGCACCCAGTCCGAAAAATATCGAAAGACTTTGAAGCTGCCAACTCTGATACAATCTCACACATCTAGTACTGGGTACAGTCAAGTCAGAGATTTTCCCAATGTTTTACGTATACACAGGCTGTGATACAGTGTCATTC